ACTCTGTTTTACCCACTATCTTACAAATATCTTTCTTTGACTGTTAACAGGGTCCTGCATAAGCCAGTCCACTACAGGAAAAAAGTACACTTATACAGTTTTTATTGTCCATAGTGGGAGGGATATTAGAAGGAAGTTAGCACCAGGTAAACTGAACTAACCCCAATTCTGTCTATGTGGTCTCAGCCCAAGGCAATGCCAAGAGTAGCTTCCATAATCTTGGACATGTACAGGACGTCTAACTGCACTTACAGTGCCTTGTTCAGAGACAGGCTAGAGCCATTTAAAATTGATTTATGACTTCAGTGAATTTTTAAAATTATTACTATTTTCTGTGTTAAAATGCTTAGATCATGCTTCCTAGGGCTGAGGTGACCAGTCCCGTATTTGCAAGTGTCTGGCTATCATTATCAGACTTGAAATAGACTGTCTCCCCTTCCTTACTTAGTCAGAGAAGACTTGGATTTAATGGCAACAGGGCATTTTTGGACGATGAAGTCCAATTCCACCTTTTTTTTTTTTTTGAGTTGATATCAAAACTATGGTTGGAGAAATGACTTGTTCAACATCACCTAGTTTGGATTTGGAGTTAATGATTCAACCTTTATTAAACTTTGTCAGTTCCATCAGTAAGAGCTGCCCTATACAGACTTTTATTTCCTATTGATATTTTTCTGTACCCCTTTCCTCCCTAGACCACATATTGAGCAGAGTCTATTTTCATTCTTTCTCAACAAGTCTTCATCTAAAACCTCTATCAGCAAGGGACCAGACATATAGACTTACACTCTGACACAAATGACCGATAACAGTCGCCTCCTCATTTGCATATCTTACAGAGCTTAAACTGAGTTCAAATGTATTCAAATCTAGTAATAAAATTCAAGACAGCCTCAGGCCAATGGGAGGCATTTGGGGGAGCTAATGATTAAAATTATACCATGGCTTGAAAATTAGGAGGTCTAACTTAGACCTGCCAAAGAATTGTGGGATGATAGCTCTGGCGGGGACCATTAACTCAATGTGGTTTGCTAATAGATCCTGAAACCGAAATCCATAGGGGAAAAAAGTGAGTTTCCTTCATGCTCAAGGAGCTAGATAATGACAGCAGAGATGGGGCTGGAGCATTTCCATAAGGGTAAAATGGACACGACTGGAAAAAGAGATTTATCATTTGGCTGTTCATTTATTAATTCTTCTAAGAAATATTTTTTGGTACATATGGAGACCTACTGTGTCCTTCAGCACCTGACATTGAGCTGAGAACAGAGACATTGATTCTGCCCTTGCCTCTTGAATGCTTTCTACACTTAGCTCTGGGACATTTTTCTCTCTTTTGGTTTTCCTCCTACAGAGAAGGCTTCTCTTCCTTTTCCTGAGCTGGTTTATTCTCATATCCTTAGTTTCTAAATGCGGAACCCCAGAGACCACCCCAGACTTTCTCCTTGAACTCTTGATTTGTATATCAAGCTCTACTGACTTCTCTTCTTGGCTGTTAAATATATATCTGTAACTTAACATATCTCAAAACACCCCAGCCTTCTTCTCCCTCAATCAGCTCATCTTAGTAAATGCAGACACATTCTACCAGCCATTCATGTTGAAACCCCTGGAGTTACCGTTGGTTCTTTCTTTTCTCTATTTCCAATACATCTGTAAATCTATAAAGTTTGCTTTCAAAATGTATCCAGAACCCAACCATCTGTCAACCATTTTATAACTTCTACCAGTCTGGTTCAAGTTAGCACCATTTTATTTTATCTTATTTTTTTTACTGGATTATTAGAAAAATTTTCTAACTAACCTTCCTCTATCTGGACTTGTTCCTTTTTTAGCTAAACTCAATGCACCAGCCTGTGTGGCCCCTTCCAAATATAAGGTGGAATCATTTTGCTTAAAATACTCATTTCACCTAGAGTAAGAGCCAAAGTCCTCACAGTGGCTGGCAAGCCCTGGCCCCTGCCATCTCTGTCTATCTCCCATCACTCCCTTCTTCACTCACTGGTGTCTCTATTTTCCCTTGACCCGAGGCTCTGGGACTTATGGCTCACTGCTTCTTCTACAGACACTCACAAGGCTTGTTTCTGTTTCTCCTGCAGCATTCTGCTTATCCATGAGGTTTTTAGTGGGGGCCTTTCTCATTCTACCTATGAAATGAGATCACATCCCAGAACTCATTATCTCATTTTGCTTTTTCTTATCCTTAGGAATCACCACCACATGACTGGTCTGTATTTATTGGATTTGTTGTTATTTGTTTACTAATTATCTCCCTTATTCCCAACTGGAAGGTAGACTCCAGGTTGGCAGGGAGTTGTCTGTTTCCTTCTTTCTCCCAGTGCCTAGAAGAGTGCTCAGTAAATATTAGTTATATGAATGAATATGCAAAAACTGAGATCTGCAAAGGGTCAGCTAAAGGGCTGTTGAGAGCTCTCTGTAGAAAGCCACCCCATGAGGGAATTCTCGTTATAAAGAAAATGAGGGCATGGAGTTTGGTCTAGAGAATCTAAAAGAAGTGGACAAATGCCCTGAAACGAGCCTGGGGAAATTGGCGGAAGCCAGCTTGGGCAGAACCTTGAAACCATGGTTGGAACTTGGAATATGAGCGTGAGTGAGATGGAGGGAGGGCAGTAAACTGTCTTTTTTTTTTTTAATCTTTTTTATATTGGTTGTTCAAAACATTACAAAGCTCTTGACATATCATATTTCATACATTAGATTCAAGTGGGTTATGAACTCCCATTTTTACACCAAATACAAGATTGCAGAATCACATCGGTTACACATCCACATTTAGCAGGGAATCTTTCTAATGTGGAGATTTACACAGATACTTGACCTCAAGAAAGCCATTGCCTACAAGGGGAGCCCACCCAAACAGTTAACAATGCAAAGAGCCTGGGGTGACCTGAGAATGTATATATCTCTTCCTTACAGGTGAAGAGAGAAATAGAAAACAGTTTATAAAGGTATTAGTTTTTAAGTCATTCCTTTTTATTTACTTATTTTTTTTTAATAAAGAGCAGTTTGAAGCTTACAGAGAGTTCCCATTTGTCCTTTATCTCCCACATGCAACCACATTCCCACATTACCAATATTCATTCCCCTCTACGGTGGTACATTTGTTAAAAATCGATGAACCTATATCAGTACATCATAATCACAGAAAGCCCAAGGTTCACACTAGAATTTACTCTTGGTATTGTACATACGGTGGGTTTGGACAAATGTTTAATGACACACATCCACCATCATAGCATCATACAGAATGCTTTCATTGCCCTAAAAATCTTCTGTGCTCTTCCTATTCATCCCTCCCTTCCCCTAATCTCTGGCCCTCATTCACGGTTTTACTGTCTCCATAACTTTGCCTTTTTCAGAATGTCATATTGTTGCAATCAAACGGCATGTTACTTTTTCAGATTGGTTTATCCCAATTAGTACTGTACATTTAAGTTGTTTCCTATGTCTTTTCATCATCTGACATCTCATTTCTTTTTAGTGCTGAATAGGATCCTGTTGTCTGAATGTATCACCGTTTATTTATCCATTCAACTACTGAAGGGAATCCTGATTGCTTTCAAGTTTTGTCCAATATGAATAAAGGGGCTGTAAACATCTGTGCACAACTTTCTGTTTAGATATATGTTTTCAGTTCTTTGGGGGTAAATACCAAGTAATGAGATAACTAGATTAAATGGTAAGAACACTTTTAGTTTTGTTAAGAAACTGCCAAACTGTTTTTAAAGGTAGCATGACATTTTGTATTCTTACCAATGAATGAGAGCTCCTGTTGTTCCACACCCTATTCAGAATTTAGTGTTGTCAGTGATCTGGATTTGGGCCATTCTAATAGATGTGTAGTGGTAACTCATTGTTGTTTTAATTTGAAATTTCCTGATGACATGATGTGAGAGATTTTTGCACATGCTTATTGACCATCTGTCTCTCCCCTTTGGAAAGGTGTCTGCTAAGGTCTTCATCCTGTTTTTAAATGAGGTTGCTTGTTTTTCTTATTGTCAAGTTTTAAGTGTTCTTTATATATTATTAAAAACAGTGCTTCATCAGTATATCTTTTGCTTATCATCTCCCAGCCTGTAACCTGTCCTTTCGTTCTAGAGTTTACCTTTCTAATCTGAATCAGTGAAAAGAAATAGAAAATGAGGGGCACACGGTGCCCAAGTTAGAAGAAAAGACAGAGGGAACAGCACGTATGACAGCAGGCGTGTCTGCCATCCCGGAGAGCCGTGCAAGGCTTGAAGTGCTAAATAAAAATGTGCTTTTTAAGGTTGGAGCTCAGTCTGGCTCACTCCCAAGTTCATGTCTTTTCACTACACCATGCTGAGAAGTGGTTTTGAAACCATGTGGAAAGAAGCAGCTGCAGTAGGGTGTGAGACCCTGGGGGTTCACAGGCACACTGGCTTATGTTTGAGAGGGAAAAGAGCATCCCTTCGAACAGTAGCATTTCACAGAAGGAAAAAGTGGGGCTCAGAAAGATGAAGTCACTTGTTCAAGATCACGTGGCTTGTGAGAGGCAGTCTCACAGTCCACGTTATCAGGGCTGGTGTCAAAAAACAAAAGGAAATGTTATTTTCATTGAACTGAATTGGGAAAGAACACACGAGCTTCTTAGGGATGGAAAATATTTTAAAGTTAGTACATATTTTTCTCGGAATGTGTGCGTAAGTATATGTGCGTGTATAGTATTTTTTTCAAAGACATCCATAAATGGTTCACTTCTGGTTCTCTGGCTTGATCGATAAGAATTCTTTATCAATTGACATTTAATGCTCATAAAAGTTTTTACTTTACCATAAGTAAAATTTAAAAATGATATATTCACATTAGTAATAATCAAGTATGACAATATCAGGCATCATCGAAATGATAATATTATGAATATGGTTTTATGAACATTACATATTTATGTCAGTCAGCTTTGTGTTGCTGTGATCAAAATCCTTGACAAGAACAACTAAGAGGAGGAAAAGTTTATTTTGGCTCACCATTTCAGAGGTTCAATCCATGATGGGCCAACTCCATTGCTCTGGGACCAAGGTGAAGAGGGATATGGAGGAAGAGGTGGAGAGTTCTGCTCATTTCAGGGATCCAGAAAGCAGATAAAGGTAAGAGAGTAAGGGGTCACAGGAAAGATACACCCTTCCAGGCCCCTTGCCCAGTGACCCTCCTCCTCCAGCCAAGCCCCACCTGGCTGTGGTTACCACCCAGTCAGTCCACTTAAACTAGGATGGACTGATTCGGTTACAGCTCTCAGAATCCAATCATTTCATCTCTGAACATCTTGCATTAACTCAGGAGCTTTTGAGGGAACAACTCATATCCCAACTATGACAATATTATATTTATAACAATATGAAATTATTATATTAATAGTAACATTAGAAATCATAGCAATAACATTAATCACTGGTCTGATGTGACACAAATCTGTCATCCCTTCATGTTCAATCCAAATGGCAACTGGTGCAGAGTTAATATAAATATAAGCACCACTCTAAATTCCCTGGCAGGCGGAATTTATTCCCCCAGAAACTCCCCCCGACAGTTAAGCTGTGCTTAGTGGTAGTCTGAAATGTAATTTGGGAAACCTGTGTCAGCTACACATTTTAAATACCAATTGGGCAACATACAGACAGCTGGAAAAAGTGTGTAGGAGGGACCTGCCCATTAGGGATGGGACTATTTTGACCTCCACAGAAGAGTATATCTTTGTTCTGAGATCTGAAAGGGACATTAAAGCTTCCATTAGACCTTCCTCCACTTAAGAGAGACCCATACTCAAGCCCACCATACCAACACTCCTCTTGTTATTCCAGATTAAAGGTCAGCAAATAGTTTTTGTGAACCACCAGAGAGTAACTGTTGTAGGCTTTGTGGATCCTTAGGTCACTGTCATGACTACTCAGTGCTATTCTTGTGGTGTGAAAGCAGCCTTGAAAAAACATGTGAATGAGCAGCATGACCACGTCCCAGGCCAATCTTATTTACAAAAAACAGGTAGCAGTGCTGGATTTTATCCACAGGCAGTAGTTTGCTGACCTGTGTCATAAATCCCTAGAAGAGAAATGTCCTAAACGTTCCTACCAGGAAAGTTTCAACTTTTGTGGCTGGATGTTCTTCATTATGTCTGGTTCATGTCCTTTTGCTTTAATACAAACCCTCCTTCTACCCTCTGGGGAGGTAGAGGACATCTGTGTGGGGCACCCTTTTGTTGGAAGGACTAACTCTGTCCTGGGGAAAATGGTTACAGATTGACCCAGAGGATCTCTAGGAGCTCTGAAATCAGAGGACATGCATTCATATCTTGGCTTCAGTGCTTCGTGTGCAGTATGATTTTAGGCAAGTTGCCCAACCATTCTTTGCCTCAGCCTTCCCTTCTGCAAAATGGTTATGCTCATGAGACTAAGCCCATGGTGTTGTTTGACTATCAAATGAGATATTGTGTTGTAAAGCACTTTAATCCAGTGCTCCTTAAATGTCAGATGGAAAGAACAGGATGGAGATAAAAAGGGAGAATAGCCTAACGTTGAAAAATGCAATTATTGGGGGACAAATAAATTTGGAAAATATACAGAGAGAGACTTAGCAAAGGAGCAAAGGCAGTTGTAGAGGATGGGTTGAATAATTACCTCTCTATTCCACTATCCTTCACTACCATTTATAGTAGATTTCACTTTAAAATTATCTTGCCAATTTGTTTGCTTCCATATTGCTGCTCTTTCTCCACTGAAATATAAACCCTGGGAGGGAATGGTCGTGTCTATGTTGTTTATCACTTTATCCCCAGAAATAGGTGTTCAATAAATAATTGTCAATGAAAGAACAAACAAATGGGAAGATTGTGTATTCTTTTTTAAATTTTTATTGTTGGTTGTTCAAAACATTACATAGTTCTTGACATATCATATTTCACACTTTAATTCAAGTGGGTTATGAACTCCCATTTTTACCCCGTATACAGATTGCTGAATCACATCAGTTACACTTCCATTGATTTACATACTGCCATACTAGTGTCTGTTGTATTCTGCTGCCTTTCCTATCCTCTACTTTCCCCCCTCCCCTCCCCTCCCCTCCCCTCTTCTCTCTCTACCCCATCTACTGTAATTCATTTCTCCCCCTTGTTTTTTTTCCCTTTCCCCTCACTTCCTCTTGTATGTAATTTTGTATACCCCTGAGGGTCTCCTTCCATTTCCATGCAATTTCCCTTCTCTCTCCCTTTCCCTCCCACCTCTCGTCCCTGTTTAATGTTAATCTTCTTCTCATGCTCTTCCTCCCTACTCTGTTAAAGATTGTGTATTCTTCTGGGGGTCCAGTTTCAAGAAAAATCCAGCATAATGGGGAAAAAAAGAGTGGGCTTTCAGTAAGAATGAATTAATATTTCCCATCACTCTCATGGCAGACAGCACTGCTGGACTGCCCTTCCTGTGTAGTCTGAATTGATACAGGATTTCTGCTAGCTGTTACACTGAGTTTTTGTTTTGTTTTGATTTGATTTTTTCTTTATTCTTTTCTTCTTTTTTTTTCAGTACCAGGGATTGAACCTAGGGGCACTTTACCACTGAGCAACATCCCCAGTCCTTTTTATGTTTTATTTTGAGATAGGGTCTTCCTAAGTTGCTTAGATCCTCGGTAGGTTGCTGAGGCTGGCTTTGAACTTGTGATCCTTCTGCCTCAGCCTCCCAAGCTGCTGGGATTACCACCCCACCCAGCTGTTATATTGACTTTTAACCCCAACTTTCTTACTTGTTGACTCTATTCATACTCCTAGATCCATAACAGGGATAAAAATTTAGACCTTCGTTGAAAGAATAGGTGATGGTTGTCAAACACATAAAATCAAGAAGGTGGCCACTTTTGTGAAGTTCCTATACCCACCAAAGTGTTACAATGAAAGAAGAGACAAACAACCCTTGCTTCATTTCCATGCGTCATGGTTTCTCACATTTCTGTTTTCATCTTATTGAAGGAGAATGATTCAAGGGGAATCAATCTGGCCTGACACTGCATCTACTAGTAGAGTGTTTTAGGCACAGGATACATACTACTCTACCTTTCTGACATTCTTGTTCTTTTTCTTCTTCTGTCTCTACATTCCACGTTTTTTTCCCACTTTTAAGATATACTTACTGAGCAAATGAATAAATACCTAGCATAATTCTACATATTCATTACTCTTTAATTAGATAAAACATGTATTACCAATAAGGCAATTTCAGAACATGTGTAAAGCAACCCACCAACATCTAAACACTGAGGGTCAAAGGAATGCCAAATGTGGGGAAAGAGACTCTAGAGGGAGTGGTCAATTCATGATGACTTTCTACTAGAAATAAACTTGGTCTTGGAAGGATGCCTTAGAAATCATTTAGTGAAGGGAGGATGCAAATTGGAGAAGAAGATTAGACAGGAGGCGAGTACCAAAGCACACACAGCATAAGTTGAGTTTGAAGAGAAGAATATTCAAGAAATTTTATTGAGAACCTACTTGTGTGTCAGCACTATCCCAAGAATTTAATTTAATAAGAGGACTGATTCTTATCCTCAAATTGCTGAGGATATCATTGTTGGCAGACTTTTGCTAATAAACTTGAAACTCCACATTTTATTTAAAGTAGATTTAACTAAAATATCAGAAAGTGATAAAATTTCTCCAGGGAACCACCCCTCTCCAAATTAGTCACTTGAGTTGTTTAAAGTCCAGTTTTAGATTTTGACACCCCAGCATCAAGCTTTTGATGTACAGTATTTTTTCTTTTTCAAGATGGATGGCTAATAGTAGGAGAGGGGTTGAAACAGTTAATCTGTTTCTAATGGCCCCATTATGTGAACTTGAAAAATGACAGTCAAAGTATTTGACTTTAGTTTATGGAGATGGTTTCCATAATGGCTCCCTGGATGCCACTCCCAGTGTGTGATCTCCCATGAATCCTGACAGCTAATGAAAGAAGAAATTGGTGAGGCATAAGACCTGTCACACAATTCCTAGCATCACTCTCAGCTGGGTTATCTCCAAGCCCAGCTGCAGTGCTCCTCTGCTCAGCTTTGGACCTTCTGAGTGTGTCTAATCTTAGGCAAGATAAATTTATCTAAATCTCTAAGAGATCTGGCTTGGAGACAGAACAAAGACACAACATGTAAATTTCAAGTGTTAAGCTAAAGAGGTCGGTTTTCTTACCCATACATTCTTAGAACTGCGTAGACATTTGTCCTTTTTCTTTCATCAGGCTGAGATTTTTCAGAAGTACATCAGTTGGAGATCAGTGATACAGAATAAGTTAAAAGATTTCCTGAAGTTTATTTTTCTTGGTCCAGATTTATAGAGGTGGCAGTGATGGGGGAAAAGATAACACTCATTAAGGGACTACCCAGTATGACACTTATTATCACATTTATTTCTCAAAGCATATATTTTTATGTATGAAAACTGAGAATCAGAAAGGCCACACTGGCCAAGTTCACAACTAAATGGGGGAACATTAAGCCTGCAAGCCCATGTTTTCTCTTTATAATATTCAGTCTTTTCCTACCATGCCATATTATCCTTATTATTGGGTTATCATTAGAAAAGAAATAACATTTACTTTATATTGCCCTTCAGAGGTTGATTTGTCAAGCTAATCTTACAACATTCAAAGTAACTTACATATTATACCAATTCTTCCAGATGATACAGATATACTTTTAAGATATACTTACTGAGCAAATGACTCCCAATTCATTTAATAATTACTAAACCAATGATTTACAAAAATGAATTACCATGCCATCTAAATCATAAACATAGATGTAGAAATCCTTGGCAAAGTAAAATAGCAAACAATGTATAAAAAGTTAATGCTACAAATAGCATAATACTATAATCATATTGCATTATTCAAAGAAAGCAAGTTTATTCTAGTATTAAAACTGTATGTTCGTCTTATTAGATGAAGAAAAAGCCCCAATAAAATTTAACACCCGTTCATGAAGAGAAACTTTTAGCAAATTAAGCATACAAGAAAAATGACTTTATCTTATGAAAGGTAGTCATCTAAATCCCTCAGCAAACATCATAACTTGATGGCAAAGCAGAAGCATTCTCCTTGAAAATCAGAAACATGATAAGGAGACTATGGAACAAAATTGTCACTAGTCAATGATATATATATTTTTTCCTACATGAAAATATTCAGATATCTTAGAGAGAAATTATTAGAATTAACAGAGGAGTTTAGCAAAGTTGTTGAATTTGAGCTTAATGAATAAAAATTGAATCCTTATATGCCAGCAATAAGTATTTAGAAAGTGAAACTGGGAAAAAAAAAAGATGTCATTCACATTGAAGAGCAAATAACCAAAAGTAGCCAAAACACTCTTGAAAAGAACAGGGTGGGGAAACATGTCCAATGTGATATTTTTAAAGGCATGGTAATTAAGACAGTGAACCAGCAGTGCACAGGGAAAAATAGACAAGTTAGGTTGAAAAACTGGGAAACACCCCTGCACATGGGAAGCTGGGTAGAAGACAGAGCCTGACACTGGGGAGAAATGGACATTGGTGCTAGGAAAGCTGAGTATACATATTAAAACAGCAACAGCAGTAACAACAACAACAACAACAACAACAACAAAATACAGAAATTTTATGCCTACATCACACCATATGGAAAAATGAACTCCAGGAGAACTGAAGTTTTATCTGTGAGAGGCAAAAACTTAAATACTTAGAGGGATTTTTTCGGGGGGGCATATTTGTAGCTTTGGAGTGAGAAGACAAAATCAGGCCAAAAAAATTACAAAATATAAAAGAAAAATTTTGATAAATATTTAGACAAAAATTAGAAATTTCGAGCAAAATACACTGTAATAAAGTAAAAAAAAATAAAACCTGCAGATGAGAAAAAGTTTTGTAGCATATTTAGTTGACAAATTATTGGTATCAAGAAAACAAAGAATTCCTATAAACTAAGAAGAAAAAGAAACCTCAATATAAACATACAGATATTTCTAAATGAAGACACAGAATGTATAATAAACAGAGGAAAAATACTCATCCTCATTAATTATCAGAAGTACATAAATTAAAACTACAATGAAATATTACTTTTCACCTTGACCCAGGAAGATAAAAAATAAAATGGTAATAAAATACCAAGATGTAGTGTTATTGGAGAAACTTCACACATTGCTGGTGGGGTGTAGACTATTTTGCAAAGCATTTAAGCAATATAATACTTGGAATATTTGAAGGCAAACATCTTTTAAGTGTCAAATATTCCCTTTTTAGGCATATATTTGAACGAAACTTCTAGTCAAGCATATGAAAGACAATGTTCAACATAACATATTTCATTTTAGTCCAAAATACAGAAATAACCTCAATATGAGCTGCAACGTGTGATACAGTGAGACTTCTGAGAGCAGTAAAAATGGATGAATATGATATAGTCTTCCTTATTGATAAATTTCACAAATGTAGCCAGCAACAAAAAAGCAAGTCATAGATATCTATGTAATGTTTACATTTATATACATTCTGAAACATACAAAACTAAGCATGGTATGTCAGGATGCACATATATGTAGTAAATGTGTAAAGAAAAACAATGGAGTAAGAATTATAAAATCTTATAGTTATAAAAAATCTTATAATTATAAAATCTGGCTATTTCTGAAGAGTAGAAAAAAAGATGTAATTAGGAAAAGACATATAGGGACACAATAGTTATTCATGATGTCCTATTTCTAAGCTGTTTGATGTGTGTGCACAATTGTTTCATTTTCTATGTAACAGATATTTTGTATATGCCAGAGATATTCCCTTAAAACTTTAAAAGAGAAAATTTATATCATTATTGCAAATCAGTGGTTTGGTATGCTGGTAATTTTTTTTCCTAATATATATTGAGAAAAAAATAGGACTATTAAAATAAAAATAAATTTCCCATGTCGTTGAAAACTCTTATACCTTTTGTGATAAACGGTATAAAGTCACTTATAAAGTCACTGTCCTTAGGGAATCACATAATTAACTATCAATAGCCCTAGAAACTTGTGTGACTAAAGTACCCAGTTCAGCCATTCTTCTAAAATGTGTGGCTCTGGGGACAGCAAAAGATAGGATCAAGTTTTCATCCATTTTCTTCATCTCTAGAGCAGAAGTGGCACAGAAGTGCCTTCGGGAACAGACAAATGACATCAAGGGGCGAGGTAGACGGGGGAGGGTTGAGGCAACCTTCTTAGTCTATGTCCTCTCTGCATGAGATAGAGCTATTTATCTCAAGTTGGGTGTGACCCTTGGGCAATTGAATCCAGGTTCTGACAAGATTCATTTTTTTCCCCAGAAAAATTGAAAACTCAAATTTTATGTGAACCTCTCCTCCACTTAAGTGTTGTGAATTAATTCACATATTTAAAATAAAACACTGCAGGTCAGATACTTCCATGTCTGCAAGCTACCCTGTCTGTAGCCTACTAGTTTGTGGTCTTACTACAGAACCCAGCAGGACACCCTGCACTCAGTAGTGGTTATTTGATGAGTCTTTGCAGAGGTAGTGAATGATGTCTTAATTTGCCAATATCTGAAGAGACAGTGGGAGAAACATTAGAAAGTGGCTACAAAATTCTTTGCTAGTCTTTGTATTGAGAAGAAATGTCATGTCCTCTCCCCTGTCTTATCAAGACTTGGATGGCTTCAACAATCAACTATGGAAGCAAGTCACACTATCCTGTCTTAAGAGTATGGGAGCTTCTACTTCATGTCTGTTGAAAATGTGCTCTGTGGGAACCCTGTTATGCGAGAAGTCTGACTTCCCTGAGATTGTCACCATGAGAAGGCCATGGGTAGGTGCTCTCATTGGCAATACCAGCTGATCTTAGTCTCCTCCTAACCATTCCTGCCAAGGTGCCAGACATAGAAATAAAGCTGCTCTTGACTCTCTAGATGAGCCCATCTGCCAATGGAGCACTCTCATGGGTATTTATTTTATGCCATGATGAACAAAAGAATTATCCAGCTCAATCCTGCATGCATTACTGACTTAAAAAATTGTGGCATATGATAAAGTATTTGTTGTATTAAAACACTAAGTATTGGAGTAGTTAGTTATGCATTAATAAACACTCTAAAATTGTTCATTTAGCTTCTAATTTGTCTAACCATGAATCACTACATGCTTATGAACTTTATTATGGCTTTTGTTGAGGACAGAAAAAAGAAGACTTTTCATAAACTCCATATGTATTACCTCCAGGAAAAAAGAAAATTGAACAAATCTGTAGGAAGATCATGGTCACCAAATTTATGGTGACTGAGGTTGAGTTGGGAAATCAGAGCCCAAACCTTATGTAGGAATACTGTATTAATCATTTCACATGAAGAACATATTTAAGGAGTTGTGGGACTAATGAATTAATTTTAAAATCTGTTCTCTAATCAGAGAGCTTGCTTGAACAAAAACACTTTGCTGTGAAAGATAAGGAATTCAGATGCAAGGATGGTCTGTGAGGGAGGAAAATCCAGATTTGGGGCAAAAGGTCTAAAGTCACTATATAACCTGATGATGTTCATTGAGAATATGGAGTCACACTGTCTGCAGAACTGGGGATAATGTTTTGGGGGGCATCACAATTCAGAAGAGGTTTGGGATCCGCTTGAAAGGGCCAGCTACTTTATTCAAATAGAAGAGGTCATCTAAGAAAGACTATGAGGGGTCAGCATATGGAGGAAATTCCTTGGAAAGAAGAATGGAATGCCCAACATAATGGTCTAGAGGAGTCTTATCTGCATTAGAATTAGTATAGCTCTGAGAGTGAAACAACAGTTTGGCATTTTAAACTCAAGGAACCCAGAAGAGTGAGGTTAAGATTTTATATATGGTGTGCAAGTGTCGGCATGAGCTCAGATGATAAAACTGAGCTCTATCATCTCAATGCTGTTCCAGATGAGCAGGACAGATACCATCTAGAAAGGGAGCAAGTGTACTCCTGGGCACAGGAAGCTTTTTCCGTAGGCACTGAAAGATGCCTCTTACATTGTCCCGAATTCACGTGAATCCTTAGGAAACTCTTCCCAAGTTTGGCCTGTAGAGAGCTGAGATTATGAGTATAGCAAAGTACATTTTTAATATAACAGAGACTCTAAGAAACATATAAGCAAAGCCCTCTGGTAGGAGGGCTTGGAAGAGATGTAACTACATGGGGGAAAGAAGCCCAGCTGAGCAAAAGGTACACCTACAGCTTCAGCCATGGTGGGAGCTGCCATGATCTATTATTATCTATTTCTGCAGGATCTGCAGCAGCTACAGAGTAGGGAAGCCTGGAGGTAAGCAGAGACTGTGCTAGATGAGGGGAACTCCAAGGCTCCCAAGAATATGTTAGAAGCTCTGGATTCTGTGGTCAGTTCTACAAATATACATCATCCCCCTACATGAGAGGCACTGTCCTTGGTACTAAAGAGGAATGAATGAGTGGTACCCTCCAAATGCTGTTCATCTTATTTATGGAAAGGTCACATGAATAATTTTGATGCATTGTTAGAAAGAGATATTTCAGAAGTTATGGGAACACAGAGGAGAAACACATAATCCAGCTCAGGGTGTAGGTCAGGAGAGGATAGAAGAGAGAATGACTGAATGGAGTTTTGAAAGACATTAGTAGGAGCTGGCTAAGTTATAGAGTTGATAAGAGTATTTCTGGCAGAGGACATAGTATTAGCAAAGTTACTGAGGTGTGAAATAGTGCTGCATGGAATACAGTCTGTTTTCAGGGAGTGTAAAGTCCAAAGTGAGCAGAAGAGTGACAGGAAATGGAGCTCTTGGGTTTGGGAGGGTCTGGCTCTTGGGGCCACTGGAGACCTGCTGGTTGCTTAGTGGCATAGGTGAATTTGAATTTTCAATACAACATTTGGATGAGAGTGTGTACCATCAATTCATGGGAGGAGGCAACACTAAAAGATGGAGACTATCAGAAGATATTTCCATTTTCCCAGTAAAATTTGTAGAGATCCAAACAAGAACAAGTTATCATGAATGGAAAAAAATAAAGATAAAAATAATCAGAAGGCAAAATTGGCCAGACTCAAGACTTGATTATTTTTACAGGAGAAAGGAAAGTCAGTGGGACACTGAGACATGGGGCACTAACTGGGGACACCTTGTGGATGGTAGTGCCATTTGATTGAACCTGAGGATACAGGAGTACCAATATGGGGGAAGCTTATATTTGTGGGAGCTCAAAAAAATCACCAAGTAAGATGTTTTCGTTAACTCTGGAAACCTTCACCCACTGAGAAAAGGCTTGGGAAAGTATGGATTACATAAATTGTAGTTTTAAAAATGTAGTAATAGACATTTGTATTAGGAAATTAACCATCTCTCATTGTCATATACTTGAAATACACTGCCTAAATTATGTGTCATATCTATCGGTGGAACTGAAACACTACTCAGTAACAATAAATGCATTTTCTTCCTTTTCTAGGTATAACAAAAGAACTTCTCTGAATAGCCATTGCCATAATCTCCAAGTCAGAGAACTCACAAGTTTCAAAATTGTGAAGAGCTACATTAGTGTTACATAAAATGCTAACGTTGTCAAAAATCAAAATGGAGTTGTTTGGATCCATCCTAATTAAAAAAAGTAAGTAGGGTCAGGATGTTGCAAAGGAAGGGTTCTTATGCACGATTGCTTCATAGTAGCTATCATAAAAGACTCTGCTAGAACCACAAACTTGCACAGAGGCTACCACAACCTCATTTTTAAGAAAGTACTTCTATGAGGACATCTGCCTAGCAACTGTCTGTTCAACCCAGACTGACGCCACTCTTGTTATTAATCATTGTGGCTAAGGATTATTGTTTCAAAATATCTGACATAATCTTCCTCAGTTTTGTCTTTAAAAAGTTCCCATTCCCTCATACCCTTTGGGTATGCCTGTTATGGCTTGGATCTGGAAAGTCCCCTACAACTCATGTTTTGAATACATGGTTCCCCAAAGCAGAAAGGTTTTGGAGGTAGAGATTTTAGGCAATGATTAAGTCATGAGGGCTGTAACCTCATCAGGAGATTAATCTGTTTGATGGATTAATATTGCAGTGAACTACTAGGTTGTATTTACAGGTAGGTGAACTTGGCTGGAGGAAGTAGGTCACTTTGCTACTATATCTTGTCCCTGGCTTTCCCCTTCCTTTCCTCATCGCCCCCTTCTTCCTCTCTTTTCTCTTCTTCCTGGCTGCCATAACATTTCTGTCTTTGAGCCTCTGACATTGGATTGAACCACTGAATCCATGAGCCAACATAAACATTTCCTCCTCTAAGCAAAATCTCAATTAACACAATGCCCATAGTTTGCTATGATACGTACATTTCATTCCATATTCTGCTATTCCCATATCACAATGCTTTACTGTTCCCAAATAATTATCATCATTCTTTGGAGAATCTTTCTCCTTGTTTGTTACTTAGGTTAACAATGTGGAATCTCATAAAATTTCCTAATGTAGAATAGAATTTCTACTTACTGTTATTTTAGACTTACCATGACAAAAAAAAATAACAGAATAAATTTGAAAGCAAAAGAGGTAAGTACCCTTTTACTAGCAGTAACAGTGGAAAGAAGTACAGTGGAAATCTAGAAAAAGCAGTTGAGAAATGTAAATTCCAGTGCAGGAGGTACTAGCTAAAGGCAGCAATTAACCTTAAACATAAACCCAAATTGACATGATGGTAATTCTGCATTATCTAGAAATGGAGAATTGGGTTCCCCGTCTTCTATGTGTTAAACAGTGATTACATACATGACAGATTTTCATTAAAAACTGGAAGCTGGGCACACCAACCATGGCACCTATTAATCCCTCCTATGTGAAGCTGCCTCATTCAATTGCTTGGGTGAACAGGGAAATTGCCAGATCAAATATAGGAGAGCCAGCTAAATTTGAATTTCAGATAAGCAAGTAATCTTTAAATGTAAGTATGCCCCCAATATTGTATCTTAACATTTGTATTTGTTAAATCTGGCTGCCTAGGGTAGGTGTATCCTGAACCCCAGGATCTTTCCCCTTCTCTTTTTCTTTCCATCAGGAAATAAAACAAAACAAACACATCAACAAAGGAGTTGGCCTAGGGTGATTTAGTATAAAAAATAACTTGGTATGCAATAATCTGTTTAAGCAACGACAGTGGTGATTAGCTGGATCAATTGTCTTCTCTCCTTTTCAGTCCCTAGAATGCAACTTGTGAATCATGTAGAGACAGGAGACAGCAAGAGCTGAAGTGCATGTGTGTGGGCACATGAGGGCCAAGATGGAAGCTACAAATGTGGCAATGTGACGCTGGAATAGAAACCATGAGCACTCATTCATTCACTCAAAAATAGGTGTTGAAATAGAAAAAAGATGCACAGGTACCAGGGTAAAGCTTCAGACAGATGATGAATAGTTATAGGAGAAACAGCCCGACAGGGCTGAGGGACCTCAATGGAAGGAGATTATAGAGAACCTTCTTCCAAGGGAGAGGTTCTCCAATTTTGCTCTTCTGGCCTTCCCTAATGGTCTCTATGGGTTAACATGAGCCCATTACTTGAGGGTGCCTGTGTGACTCTCTATGTCTTGCAACAGAAGAGACTCATGAATGCCAATGGATAAAACAAAGCCAGTTTTAGTGCTAGAAAAAACAAACCCTCCACACAGGAAAACAATTCCCTAAGGAAAAGAACCCAGTCTTCTTGCAAAGTGTGATATAGCTAGGGCTTGGGTTTGTTAGCTTTTATTGTGCTTGTTTCCTTTAAAAAAAAAAATTGAAAGGCCTACTTTCTTCAGAGATTTGATAGGCAATGGAAGTGTCCCCTTCCTAGTCATTCTCCCTGAATCTACCCAGAGAGGAGGGCATTCAGGGGCCCAATATGTGGCCCAAAAGAATTCAATGTGCTCAGATTTTCTTTGTCCCCCCTCTCCTCTTGCTAAGGAGTTTTGTGATGGAGAAATCACATATTTGATATATATTTATATATATATATATATATATATATATATATATATGTATATTTGCATGGAATGATGCAATTGCATGGAATGATGATTTCCTTTAGAAACAATATGGATTCTTGAATTTTCTTTTGCTAGAAATGTAATTAAGAGGAAAGAGTTGAACTTCACTGTTTAGGGTATACAGCTATCTCAGGGGCATCCATCATTTTCTTTCTTTTTCTCTTTTACTCCCACTCCATGAACTTGGCTATTTCAACTCAGAAAAAAAGCAGCAACAATGAAAAAAATCCCAGGCTCCTGATGAAGAAAAAAGTTCATTACCTATGTACTCAGCAGATATAAATATGCTTGCAGTGTGTTTACAGTCATCAGTCGAGGTTGGGGACTGTTGAAATATACTGCTACACTGCCTTCTAAACGTATTCTGCACTTTCTCAGTGTGTGAGGAGCAGCCACTTGTATGCATACAGACCACAAAGTGATTCAGAAAAAGAACCCGATAACCTCAAATCAGAACAGCAACAATAACAGCACTTAGGTTTGCTTCACTTATGACAATAATGTAACTGCGGTCTCCATGGAGTCCCTGATTTCTGAGTTGTTACATCAAGTCACTATTTTGCTCTAACAGCTAGAATATTCTCCCATTATTTTCCTTCTGCCCCTGATGACATGGCTATGACCAGTGGGTTGAGAGCCAGGAGTGTTGGGCTCCTATGCATGTACGTATGTTCCTCACAAGGGGCATCTTACCTTCGTCACTGCAGGGAAATGCCATTTTCTCTATTTGTTTCAGTGTGTTTTAGTAGCGGCCCAAGAAAACTTGTCTCTGGGACCTCCTGACCTAGCTGTCTCTTGTTCCCAGTAATACTGGGAACAGCAGTAGAAGTAAAGGCCTAGAAGTTTTGATTTTGATTTTGTTGCAAATCAAAGTGGGAAAAAGGCAGGCTTTGGTAGCATGACTCTGACCTTCTGGGAAAAGTGGGGAGAAGAAAAACTCTTAGAAAATAACACAATAGGAAATCACACGTAGGGGATTAAAGACAACAATAGCAAACAACAAAAAGATTTTTGTTCCAGGAAGGGAGAAAGAGAGACTCTGGTTCATATATTTGCTTTAGATCAGAATGCTAGTACCATTGGTGAGTTATATTTGATTTAAACATGATCAGGTTATCTTCGTTTTGTTTGAAAAGGGGAATTTTCTAATTTAGAGTATTGGAGAAATTGAGTGCTGAAAGTAAAGATCCTATAATTACTCACTCTTGCTTTTTCCCATGCATTCAAATTCATATTAATGGTCCCAGAACTTACTGCTACTCTGCAAACCCCCCAGTATCCTAACATCTTGGTAGATGTGACATCATGAACTTGGGAGATGGATGGAGCCAACTCACAATACATCTAGTCAATTTTTTAATGACTGAATGTTGTGAATCTGAAATCTAAACTAATTCTGACATTTGATTTAAAACAGAATATAGAGAAACTGAAAAGGCAACAAAATTGAGACTTGTTTGCATAGTTTTGAAGAACAAACAAAATATAAAGTCTCCTTGAGTTTAATTAATAAAACCAAACTGCTGGGTGTGAGAGGTTGCGGAATCCTGGACCAGTTGTATGAGTTGGGCTGTGAGCTTGGGGACATGACAATGTCTTCTATATCCGCAAATGAAGTTTCTCAGGAAACAAACAAGGTGCTCTCACTCAAACTCTAAGGCAACCCCTCCAACAACAGAGAATGATTTTTAGCCGCTTCAACAATGCTTCAATAGGGAGGCAATATGGAATCATGAAGAAGTCCAGGGATCAGATGGACATAAGAGGTGTGAATCCTGCTCCTTCCACCACTAGACCATTGTCCATGGGCAAATCACATAATATCTTTGACCTCCCTTCTGTCATCTGTAAAACTAGGGGACTAGTGAAGGGGTCAGAATTTAATGACCATTATATGTTCAAATGGGTAAAAAAACAAAACAACACAACATAACACAAAACAAAAACATACTCTATCTAAGGCAATGTGCTGAAAGCTTCATTGTTATTCTTATTTGCAACTGAAGAAATTGAAGCTCAGAGAAGTTAAGTGACATTCCTGAAATCTCCCAGCTACAGACAGCCTTATCAGGGATTTAAATCTAGCTCTGTGTGATGCTAATGCTCATATTCTAATCCACTTTGCTCAGAACCCAGTACATTAAAGGTACTCACTTTAGATGAGTACATTCATTCTTACGTTCATTGATTCATTCAACAAACATCTTATTCAGCACCTAGTTGGTGCCAGATTCTCATATGAACTGACAATACCATCATGAATATGTTATAGTTTTGTTTAACCTTAAAACACTAGCCTGTGTGGCATTAGAGAGTGTGGAATAATGCAGAAAACACTGGCTTAGTTGTCAGGAGCATGGTTATTGATATTAGCAAAGGGAAGATGGAAGTGGGAAGAGATGATCTTGCAAAACTTGGGGACATAAATGGCTCCTCAGAACATCAGGGAAGCATTGATCTATCCTTGTGCCACCTGAATTCTTGGCCAGGACTCTGATTGGATGACCGAGTCTGATTCTCCAATTTCCCAGGCCTGGTGTGACAACAGCTGGCCAGACCTGGATGGTGGTGACAGTTCATGAGTGGTGGTCC